AAAAAAAGAGTATCTATGCCACTAATCGGATACTTCATACAAAAAAAAGAACTACTTTTGAACGATTTTCCTTTTTAATCAAAGGAAAATATAGAAAGATAGAAGGAATCTACGCGATATAAGAGGAGAGCTGAGATAAACGGGTACAAAAAGCGATCCCCCAAAGAAATACTCCTTTCTTTTGAACTTCGTACTGAGAAGGCAAGACTTCATAAAAGACGATGGCTTTCAAGCTAGTCTACAAAACAGTTTTGAAAGGTAGCCGTGGTCGTTGAAAGTCATCGTTAAAAAGAGACGATGTCAGAAGAGCATAACACACTATCTACATTTAACCTTATATGGGTATATTGGACACATATATAGCAGGTGAACGAATGGCATCTGCGGCGAGGATAGCTACGCTTAAAAAACTAACAAAGTATGTTAAAGAAACTTGCGATGAAAACAACTGTTGGTGATACACGAATGAAATACATAGATTGTAAACATTAAAATAAACTAGAGCTTGTCGTACAGCCATAAAATGGTAACGTCTATTGGTCGCATGCTACCTAGTCATTGGTTATTCTATGTAGGAGACCTCCGTTGACGCCGATTTGCATGTGGTCTTACGTCATTAATACCTTTACGCCATCTGCTGACCATAACGGCTTTCATTACTAGTAGTAAGACGATTAGGTTTTCTCTGCAATCGCTTACGTATCTGAAGGCCGAACGCATTCAGGCCATGATTCACGGAGTGGATCCTTAACACCTCCATAGAAGACTTACGCTTAATACAAATCAGTAATAGGATTTTCGTTTCTATAGCGGCCCATCTACGCTCATATCATGCTACTGATGCGTGTCATACATAGAACGTGCATTAAATCGTACACGCGTGTAATTACAGTACGGACAAGTGTTTATGTACTAATAGTGATAAAAAAGATTTTTTCATAACAGAAATATCAATATTTGACAATTTAGCTTTATGATATAACTTTTAAAACTATTAATGGGAATATTTTCTCTAGCATATGTACAATATATTTGCATATTATGCATATCGTGTTAAAGATATGTTTTTGTCAAAACTATCAATCTTGATAACATAAAAAGAAGTATCTTGAAGCGGGCACAGTTCAGCTTGATTTTTTTAAAGTTAGAATGCATTACTCTGTATTAAACGGAGATGCTGTGTAGCCTTCGTGGGACTGCGTATACATACAAGCACCCATCTTACAAACAGTGGGCCACATTTACTGAGGACCTCGAAGGAAAGTTCTCCTCGTTCTTTCGTTCGTTGCAATTTTGAGAAATAAACCGAACGGCTGAAAAGCATAACAATGAAATGCGTTTAGTAAATGTTACTACTAATTAGATCATTCACGGCGCCAGAGAACTGTTAGAATTTTCGTTGTAGGCATAATAGCACAATCTCTACATCTGCTTGTAGTAAAATATCGTTGAAAAATTCACAGATTAACCAAGGGCAACATTCTATAAATGATATATAATGGCTGAAACCTGTGTCATTTCAGCAAGAAAATTGTTTTATTGAGATCTCGTTTCGAATTTATCAAGAAGCTTCAGCATGTTCTTTGCGACATCAAGAAGAGAATTGTCCCTGAAATATCTAAACTACCTGTCCTCCTTGCTTGGTAATTCTTTTTTCCGCTCTAAACGCATCCACTAGTCTGTCTCTTGGCATAGCCGACAGCTAATAAGTTAGCATAATGAAATTGGCACACTGACAGCGTTCCGACTTCTTTCTAAACATTTTCTCTCCCTACCTTTCTCTGTTTGGATTTTCTTGTTGGATAATGTCCTGGCATGTGAAAGAACGTTGTCTTGGGACGCTCCTTTATCTTGCTAGTTTCTGTACTTCAGCCTTCGGTTCCTGTCTGTCTTTTTTTTGTTTACACGACTTTTCTTGTTGATTGCTGTACTGTAGGAGAACGGAGTGCCCCCAGAGTACCCACAATCAGGCCGTATAACGCCTTGATTGTTCGACTGCGCTATGGCGGCAGTAACACTGGTTGAAGCGATGACATTGTCAGCAGCAGCAGCAGCAGCAACAACAACGACCATAACGACTTCTTTACTGAGTCGCTGTTGTGTGACTGATTGAATGAGACTAGAACTGCGGTGACATGGGCGCGGTGTGAACGATACACTGCTTGCATAACTATTTTTTTCTGCCCCACCTTTGCTTCGCTTCACCGAAGGCTCCATTCAAAGCCCCGCTTTGCCGGCCTTTCTTCCTCATGGTCGGGTGAAATATGTGCGAGCGGCCACAACTGACTCGAACGAAGGAGGTACTATTATATAATATGATAAAATACGGTAATTCACCGAGCATAATCACCGCCTTGTTACCGACTGAATGAGCTAAGCTCAGCAGATGGAAAGTTAAAGACTAATGTAATGTTCCTCGGAACTATTGCCTTTTTCAGGGAGCCACGTATTACTTGACCAGTTCGATGTCCCAACACAAGAGCTACTACCGAAGCAGAATCCATCTGTGTGTAGTTACGTTCTCAAGTCCAGTACTCATCACCGATGAAGTCCGATTTCGCCCGCAAGTGACGACGCTGTTCATGGCCGAGCAGGAAGAAAGATAGATAGAGGCCCGCTAAATCCAGAACGAAACAGGGTGTAAAAAACGAATTGCAGTCAAAGAAGAAGAATATCTAATTTGATTTTAACTTTGCCGGTGTTTCCTTCTCATCCTTCGATTCTGCTCGTACCGCCTCTTCTGAGGGTTTTCTATCCTTCTTGCTTTCCACCTGATTCAACTTGTCGCTCTATGTTACTCCTTTTTTTGTCACTTCCCCTCTTCTCGCTTGGTTCTCTCGTTATGAGTAGTTTTGTACTAACGGAGAGTTCTGTTCCTTCCTCTTCGTCGTCTATTCTGTTCCTTCTCCGTGTTCGTGTTTTTTCATTATCCGTTCACTCGTTCGCTGTCTGTTCCGCTGTCGTTCGCCGTCGTTACGACTTCTGCAGCTACACTGCCGCGACGGTAGCGATTGCCGTCAAATAGTCAACGTACGAGCTCGTTTCGTGTCCCTGATCCACTTTTTCCTTCATCTTACCGACATCTCTTGAATATTATATTGACGTGTAACAATTTCTGCCATAATATCGATGTGCGTGCTGATGTCGATTTATCCTTAAATACTATTGCTGCAAACACGTTTTAAGGCTTTCCAGGGAATTTTTGTTCTTCGATCGCTTCAGCTTGCTGACGTTCGTCAACAGTTTATTTCACATAGACGGTAAGTTTTGTCTCGACGTAAACCCCTAAAAATTCGAACGTGATAATAATGGCAATTTTACTCTTCAGAACATTGCCCGAACATGGGAGGGGCCCTTTATGGTGCTATTTGTAAAACACTTCTACGGCTACGTATGTGAAGCGCATATAATACAACGCCAGTAAGAACGCTTTCGTGATTTTGTTTCGCAGCTTCAAAATGACACTGAGTTCCCTAGCATGCACAGAAGGGGGATTTGGCCAGACAGATTACGTATGTCCGAATTGTACGGATACGTAAATAAATGCGAACTTTTTTTTCATGGTTCAAGAAGACTAGTTGCTCTGCCTTATGCTTTGTAATAACATGATTGTCTACCAAAGTTGAAGATACATGGTAGTCTAGGTTCTAATCATACATTTCACTTCGTACTAAGGGCTCATCGGTTGAAGCGTATCGAACGATCTAGGTGCCGGACGTAAAACGTATAACATTTAACTCACACTAGCTACGTAAAGGTACACACTTTGTGCGCTTATTTGTTTCGATGCTGTAACTCATTTTAGTACTCTGTCCGCAATCAATTTCTCCCATACAGACATTATATTTGAAAAAATATCTTCTAATAGCTCATCAATAAAGACGATTCGATAACGAGAGCCCGCACATGCAGCATTTATCGCAGAAGTTACCTTGTTGCTTGTGGATCCAGGTTGTTATGGCAATGGTAAGAGGACTTGGAAATTTTGGATAGGCTAAAATACACGAAATTTCCTGAAGACACCTAATTGTATCTGCGCGGCTATTTGATCTGCACGCTCGAAATAATACGCATGCACAATAACAGAGCGTTTGGGTCGAGTGGAAGCTGCGCACGAATTAGTATAAATGGCCAATAGAAATTATCGCCCAAAAACCCACGTCTCCTTATGTTGTTAACAGATCGTTAGAAGTCGTCTTGTGTCCAACTATGCAGGATGCAGGAAAGCTAAGCATCTACCTGAGCTAAATTAGATGTCATAGTATTACATAGAGCAATACAGTCCAATAGTGACCAGTAGCCCCTCATCATTCAGTTCCCGAAGGCGCGATACGGTGTCCCTTCTACGCGGATTCAATCGGCGTACTAAGCGGAAGGCATACGTTCTAGACATAAGCCATGGCTCGCCATGCCAATCACTAACATTCGTATTTAGCGTACACCCCAAACAAGTGGGAGATTTGAGCGAAAGTACGCTAATCGAGGATAAGAAAAGTGTAGAAACGAAGACTATCCAAAGCTCAAATGTCTTTTGCGAGCTGCAAGAACGTTTGCATGTGAAGGGATTAGTAAAAAATGCTTATACACCCCTAATTGATAGGAACGAAACACCGAATTTGATTATTTAGGACATCATCGATCATGTATAGTGATAATAATAACTTCGTATTCCAGTTTATCTCAGGTTTATATCAGGTTTATCCAGGTGCAAGTTACAATATTATAGAGTAGAAGTGGTTACAGTTTTGGCCACTTGAACTGGGTCACATGGGCCACTCAGACGCTTCTTCAATCCGACAAAAAATCGTTCAGTAACACGCATAACTTTATACGCAGTTAATGCTCACGATACGTTGTTTGACACTGAATAAACAACTTCTGAATGCATCTGACGTCTCCAAAAAAGAAAATATACATAAGTAAACGTAATATTTTTTATTTATTGAAAACCTTCAACTCTTTACCATTATCCATTGCCAAAAAAATAGCGACATATTATATGCACAAGGAACGTTTTGAATGGCGCACTGATACATTGTAACCTAACCTAGGAGATAATCTCTTCTAGCTATATCTATAGCACCGACTGAGAGCCTACTAGGCTAAGACGGATACGATGCTGATCAAATCCAATAAATCGCACAATTTCTCTGGTAGTATCTAAGCAGTGCGCTCAAGGCTCGATCCTCGTAACTAGACGAAATATTTAGCTACACAATGTGGCGTCTAAATTAGATCGTATAGAGAACACCCATTGCTATGAGCCGTATTACTGCAACTATATGTATTGGCTGCTTCAGCACGAAGCAGGCACTGTCACCTCTTCGATCGAAGCTGATCGGAAAAATTCTTTAGAGTACAACACGTAATAACGTATGTATAGAAAAAACGTTTATTTGTTTATTGACATTTCCGGTAGATGACTATACATCTCATACCACGTTCACCATTCGTTAGTTTCTTAACAAATATTGCACAGTAACCACTTTGTAGTTAAAGGCTTGTGTAACGACCGAACGGCGCTCAGGTACAAATGCTTTTTTACACAAATAGGAGCGCAACATCTTATCTTTCTGATCCAATTATTATCGACACTACCCTCCATCTCCAGCCCGTCTCCTCAATAATCCATAGAGCATACCCCACAGTGGTTTTTAGAATCAAGTACATATATGCGTCGATTTCCAGTGATTAAGATTCAGCGCTTCGTCCTCGTCGAGTCAGTTCTTATCGGTCGGCTTAACTAGCATCTTCTTCTTTTTCAGACTTTCATACAAGTGTACCGCTCAGCGTAATTGATGCTTAACGGGGTTTCCCTCTTCTTTTTCGACTCTGTGAGCTTCGTCATCATGCTTCATTTATAGCTGTACATAACTAGTGGATACCTCACGTGTGTCGCATACTTTAATCCATCATTAAGTCTTATACTCACTTACCATGTCAATCGATTACAAGCGAACCACAGTCATAAGGACCGTTCCTTATGGAGGACCTTGCCAGGGCGACAAGCTTGGGCCGTTTGCGTCGTGGTGAGAAATCACATAGTATAGGCCACGATCACCTTTGTCCAAAGACTAATAAATGTTTTTATTTCTACGTGTCTTTCTCTGTTTATAACAATCTATAGTAATTCACTCGATCATTCGCTTCCTTCACTGCTCAGATGAGAATCGGCAAACGTTTGGTATTATGGGTGCTACAGACAATAATAGGTAGAACTTTCACTGCTATAGCTTCGTTGACGCTGTCATTATGTGGATTTATCTAGTGCATTGCGTACGTTCGTCCTGTCATTTGTTGTCGTGTTTCTGCTGGGCTGATTCACCTACAGTTTACCAATCGACATAGTTTGCTTTGTTGTAATGTCTAAAGTGTTCAAGTTATTTCTTTTTTATTTAACATATTTCTGACTTTTTATCGCCCTTATCGCCGATTTCGCTTCTTGTATCGCCCGTATTGTTTATTTCTTTTGTAACCTTTCATTTTTTTTGCATCTCCTCGCGTCGCATCCTTTTTTTCATCTATTTATATTAAACCTATTAAATTATTATATATATATTACAATATATGGAAACCTATGACCATCTTCGTACGCTTAGGACGGTTCGTCCATGTCGAGCATTTCCGAGGAGAACCTGCAACACACATAGAAAATTGGAGAACAATTGTATTAGAACTATTCCAGACCAGAGCAGGTGCTGCAGCCATTCAATTGACGGACTGAGGCTGGCAGGCAGTCGCATTTCCACTAATGACGGCTGTCCCTCACTGCTTCGGGGCCCCACAACAGTTCGAATACGAGCGGTCGAAGTGGATCCACAGAAGGCACAATTAATTTGCGTGTCAGGCTTTCTCTTTCGCCTTCTCCTTCTTTGGGTACCCATGCTGTCTTGTCCTGGCCCCGGCACGTCCCCAGAGAAGAATGCCTCTTACTCGTTGGTCTTTGGGCCAAGCCACGAACGCCCTCTCAATGCCATCTACACAGACAAAACTACAGATCGGAACTGCGCACTGCTACAGTTTGTCTCATCGGTGCAAACTCTTAAATATGCGGCCATACGTAACCTAGTTTATAATAATTACAATTAAAACAATATTTTAGCAATATTGCAGAGCTGAACAGTAAACGAGTGTTTTTGGGCCGCTCATCGGTGAGCCAAACTGGCTCATAATAACAATACAAAGTAACGGCTGTCTGTGCAACATGCACTAAAGCTGATATATTGAATATATTTACAAAAAATCACAACCGACATATCGGACTGGGTGTGACTGATTGGGAGGATATGGTTTCTAATTCTTCGCAATGCTGAGTGTCGAAGTAAATTCACGAAGGTAGAGGTCTTTATCCATACGCTCAAAAAAAAACTTCTAGTAGGTGTAGCGGAGGCCAAAATGACGGCACAAACCTTCTAGAGAGCGTGTGCGTGTGTGGTTGCTCCCTGCGAGCGGCGGTCTCATGGTACGGTGATGAACTGGGGGTTGTCTGCGAGGGCGATCCTGATCCTCCCTCGGCACCGCCGATTAGTAACGAGCCTCCTAGGGATCCCCCTAGTGAAGGTGAGCCCCAGCCGCCACCTGAGGATTTCCTTTTTGGCTTGGAATAGAGGTATGCGGGATGCCGGAGTTCCTCACCATTTCCTCCAATCAACACCACCTCGGCTAGAAAAAACAGAATGAGTCATATTTATGCACACATGCATTTAAATAGAGACACCTGTTCAGTGACAAAGCATATTGATCCATAAAATGATATTTTCAGCTAAAAAATAGCAGACGGAGTAGCTGTGTCGTTCAGTCTAACTTCCCCATTTGCACATAGTTGCTTAACGGTAAGCAGCATGTAGTTTACTATATCTGATTAATTTCGATGGAGTCAAAGCTTTCTTTCTCATCCTACAACGCCCCATATAAGTTGGCTTCGAAAGGTATAAACAAAAGGCTGCAATCAAGTAAATTAAGTCATTTGCCTAGAAAAACTAATCTGGGCTCAGGAAAGAAATCATTGCATCATGCAGCGTACTATGCATGCTGGACTACCGACGGCGGAAAGGTGTTAATCTTTAGAAGCTTCAATCCTGTCTATAAGAATGTTCCTGATCAAACAGTGATAGACGTCTTATTTATAAATGAATGGATACAGAAGATAAAAGAAATAAACACAAACTCTAACTACGGGAGACGATGATTTAATAGTTGACTACCACTCCGACGTATCGTTTTCTAAATGGCGTACTGTTAAACAGTTAAATATCTTTGATGGTAGTGAGAACACTCAGGCACAATAATTACGTTACTCGAATCAAACTCTATTCAGACAATACTGAAGGATTCCTTCTTTATATACATAGAATATGGTATGATGTATATAATATAATAAAGACAAATTAATTACTTCATATATCATCTTTCCTCGCACACACTTACCAGTATCACAAACGTGATTAAGTTGATTGCTATTTTGCGCCGGCAGTTGCCCGGCCATTTGGTACTGGCCTTGGCCAGCCTGGTTTTGGTGGTGCATCGTCACACCATGGTGTAGTGTACCCTGGTGGTGACCAGGCATCTGCTGCCGGTGAAAGGGCACGTCGTAAGTGTGTTCATCGCCTCGCCACTCTCTTGGGATGCCTATTCCAACGCCCCCGGGGCCCAGAGTATCTCCTCCATAGAAACCCCTGCTTGCGTCGCCAGGCGCTCGGCGAATAGTCCCCTGACCGTGGCACGGACTCTGCATATACTGCATCGAAGCATGCTTGTTTGCTTCCATCTTTTCCCAAACCGCCATCGGAAGAGTATCCTGATTGCAATGCTGCAAACATTTGGAGCTGTCACCTAATAACAAATCAAAAACAAACCTCATATATACAGAGTATAAAAATATCTATGGTATCTATGCTAAACGGTAGTAGTAGAACGGAAATAAGGAAAAAAATCCCAATTTCTTAGCGTCGAATAATTTTCGAATTGTTTACATTTGCCTTAAACTGTAACACCAGAACTTGTAATTCGGAGAAGGCTTTGAAACATCAGATATGCTACATCGAAAAATTAATATGACATATCCGAGCTCTAATTAAAGCCAACAGCGTCAAACCTTAAGAAATAAGCTAAGATTCTGCGCTTAGCTATAGTTTGGCTAGAAGCGCATGTGAATCCTCTTACCCTGGTCCCTAGGGTGGCACCCCCTTGATCCTCTCATCCGTCCGAACCAAAAGCATGCTCCTACAGCTGCCGTCACTAGAAGAACAAGGCTGACAATGAATGGCAGTATTAAAGACGTCACTGATCCATATGGAGGCGATCTATCCCTCGTTGAATGCGGAGGTGGAATTGTCCCTGAAACAAATAGAAGAGAAGGCATCCACTTGTCTTATTAGACACTAAGATTGCACATATCTTGGTGTCTAATGGGACAACCCCTTTGAACAACAGAGCCCCTTTGCAGGAGTACGTAGCTGTTGCACTCGCAAATCGTTGAGGACACTTGGCAGAGTTTATTGAAATGTCTCAGCTTCTATCAGTTATTTAACTATCTTTGAGAAGAATTAAGAAAAACTCTTTTAAAGACAATACATTCTTCTTCTGTAGTATCTTCTTTATATAGTATCCTATACATATTGTATAAGTGATTTCCCACAGAAATATATTCTTGTTATTAAATAAAGAGAATCCTATTTGCTCTGTGCTATCAGGTGTATATATAAGACAGAAGCCTGACTAAACTATCTTCTACCGCCTAATTGCACATATAAAAGAAAAGATATTGCTACATTTGGTCGTCCGATGATTTTTTGACACTGTCTCTTTCTTTTGTACGTGGCAGTCACGCAAAGGGCTTTTAACGCTTTCCTCCGCAGCTGGTTTCATGTGCCCTCTGCAATTAGCTTTGCCGCATTCGCCCAATGACCTGGTAATCTCACGGTGGCCCTTTTGTTGTACATGTTATCCGATGAGATCTTGGCCGACCGGGAACACTCTACCAGCTGGGCACTGCTGTTTGACCCCAGAAAGCGGAGTAGCCAACAGCCAGCGGGATCCAGCTTTCGCCCAGCGACAAAACAACGTTGTCCCCGTACTGCCTTGATGATTTCCCGTTGATGAGGGGTCGTGAAGGCTTAAGAAGGATGTCGGCGAGCATATACTGCTGCAGCAAGCAGGACGGGAGACAGGGTGTCGTAAAGCAAGCACATGGGGTTAACATTGAGCCGGCTGACTGCGCTGCCGGTATAGCTATTATTTGATATGTGAAGTAGACACGCCACTAGTCCATTGGCAGTGACGAGACACCTTCTGCGTCTTATAACGCTCTTGGAAGAAGCGACTAGCTACGCAAAATCTAAGACTATGTGAGTTTACCCACTATCGGCCAGTTGGTAACATTAAGCAGGCAAAAGCAGTTAATGCTATAGATGTCCGATTAACTACCGCAGTGGCTCAAATAATGCTGGGCAGAAATAATGAAACGTTATACAACGTACGTAAATATTTCCAAGAATGCCGACTGACAGTAGTGCGCAAAAAACGCAAATGGGGTAAGTACTATAGATCGCTTTTTGCAGCTGCATAAGTTAGAGGTGAAAATTAAAAGCTAGTAACTTCGAACATCTTCGTCATACATCATCAGCTATTTAACTATTGACTAGACGGTAGCAGGCACAACATATACCCAATAACCACCGGCTAACAAAGACGAATCCACTTCTCTGACGAAGATGCAGTGCACGACATGGATTTCGGTAGATTTACCTCCTTGTAGAGTAAGTGTTGAGAATGGATACTCGGTTTCCGTAGCACCCGCCTCGTTGTGGGCAGCAACTAACAGAGTGTACCACGTGGCGTGCGCAAGTGAGCACAGGGTCACTGGGTGCTGAGTCGTTGAGCTGGATGAGGCATCAAAAGCTCTGCAAATGAAACATCAATGAAATAGCAAAAAAAAAGGCAAAAGTCAATGAAAAAAAAAACGCATGCTATCGTTGTTTGTAAGTTCTAACATGCAAGCGTCCAGAAATATTCTCCTGTTTGCAAAACATCCTAGGACGATCCCACTCGTCAAGGCTAACAAAACAGCGTGTCTGTTTCTTTTGATACCATCCAACGCTATAAGCTATTCCATCTATGCTAACTGCTCCGTTTGGCTACTGCTACCGTCGTTGCGGTGATCGTTATAGTTAGTTGGCCGCTGCGGTTATACTGGTGGTTTGGTAAAGGTAAACGATTATGTCGAAAACAATTTTGTGTCCATGAAAGATGGAAGAACAAACGGCGACGCCAAGGTAATTTGGAGGAACATCTTTGAAATCGTTTGTGGACCCATGGGCTGCTTGCTCGGCTTACTATGCTCACTGAAAGTCAGAAAGTCTACTACTACTCAAAGCAGTCCGGAGGTCTAGCCCGCCTGCGATTTTCTCTTTACACAACTGCGGGTCACTGGCTGTTGGCCACAGACGGGCCTCCGCTGGTTTCGTCCAGTTTAGTCTGCTTGGTTTCGTTTCTTTACTTGCTGCATTGGAAACATAGCTAACGGCTGATCAGTACCGTCAGCATCAGACCCCACTATTCGTTCAGACTCCCATTGCTACCGCTTCCACCCAGAGGCTACTCGCAGAAGATACAGTAAAAATGGTGAAAGTCTTGCTCTCGTTCTCTCTTCGACGCTGGATTTCGGTTTCGCAATAAAATGGGCGATTGAAAATCGAGATCCCTACAATTACGAAGGTGGTGGCAGTGGCGGCTGCCCAACCGTCGGCCACTCGTTTGCTAGCCGAGTAGAGGAAGTCAAGTAGAAAAGCAGAGCTGGAGTTCAGTTTGTGTATGTTGAGAGTTAGAGGAGCTGGCCCAGAGGCTAGTGAGTAGGGCAACTAGAAAGGAACTACAATGAGAAAGAAAGCCAGGCTCAGATAGGCCTGCCTTTGCCTTGCTTGTCCTGGTCCAGCCCAGAGTGGTGGCCGCTGGTAAAGAAACATCCGATACGCTCGGATCGGGATTCGTTGAAACCCGATCTCCTGACTAACGGAGAGCCGGCATGATAGGAGACGGAAGAGAGGGGCGGTACTTTGGAATGGAGTGAAACGAACGGGGCCTCTCTGTCTAGCCTTTTCGAATAAAAAACTAAGTAAACGAATTTCTCCACGCAACGGACCTCCAGTTCGGCCATCAGTATCGCAGCGATTCCTGCTGCTACTGCAACAGCTACCGTTGAGTCGAAAACCGTTGGCTGATGCCAGCAAGAGTCCAGCAGCACCTCTTTCTTTCTATGACGTTGTTAGTCATTTTGTGCTTCATAAAGCTGACTTGATTTTCGATCCCTCGTGGCAGCGAGAACTGGGAGTGGAGTTCGCGAAAAAAAGACCTTGGGCTGCTGGTGAGAGAAGCCATCGGGTTTAGCTTAGTGCGGACTTCTTAGTTTCTTGCCCTAATATTCTTCCTTTACAATGTCTGAACAATAGAAAAAGAAAAAAACGTAATTCTAGTGTTCTACAAAAGTCCGCATACCCTTTAAGGAAAAATCCCGAAAGAATATTCGGGGAAATTTCTGATTCGCTTCAAGATACTCCTAAATAATTTCGATATTTTATAGAGCATTCGGCGCCAATACCAATGTTGCCAATGAAACGTCTTAGCAAGTAGAGAATAGGTATTGCGGCAAAGGATACTAGACCGCCGTATGACAAGCACCCGGAGGCGTGAAAGGGCGAGATCTGCAAAACAATAATTTGAGCCCTTTGGCTTGTAGAGCTGACCTGTAGAAATTTCCTTCAGTGCAATCGTCCGTGAATTTTGTGTAAAAGCTTGCCGTCAGCAGAGTTATCCTACACGGGTGGTCACGCGGAAAGCAACAATGAACTAGGGAATTCTTTGGATGAGTTTGGTTCACTACACCTACGGCTGTAGTTGTCATAGAACTTCATGGCCGTAACTGGCTTTATGGCTCTAAGGCCAATCCTCGCAAACTCACTAACGAACTGGTTTCCAACTGCGTTTCCGCTTCGTAATACCCTGCACAAGTTTGGCGGACAGAAACATCTAGTTGGCCATTTATTGACGATCACCTCGACAAAAGCCTTTCAACAACTCCCATGGCCCTAGAATCTCGCTCGACGTCCCTCTGTTCCAGAGTGGTACATAGTCTTTTCTAGTAATGTTGCTACCTAACTGAACATATATAAAAAACGGAACTTTATGCACAAAGACTGACGCTCCTATATAATAGGAGCCCCTGTACGACCATTACTACTCTAGCTAGGGAAGAAAGCTCGCAGAAAAGGAGGCCTAGAAAATAGATACTGCGTCTCGTTTTGTCATGTACGCTGATTTATACAAGGACGCAACTTTACGTACAAAGATGGACAATGTTTCATATTAAAGGCACTTGTACAGCTATTAACACTTCTAAATGGAGAGGGCCTGCGAAATAAGCAACCTGCAACGTGGGTTGTGCCCTTTTTTTGCTATATTAAGGTAGTAAATCATAATAATGGTTTTTAGATGATTACAGAAGCTCTCAAGGAACGCCATGTGTGAGTAAAAAGGGCCTGCGAAATAGGCAACCTGTAACGTAGATTAAGCGTTCCTTTTGGTTATTTTAGTGGAGTAAGTTATACTAATAGATTTTTTTTTGATTATGACGGGTCCCAAGGAGCGCTATGTACAAAGTAATTTATCATTATGTTACATGTTTATATTAGAAATACATAAGTGTATTTTTGAAGGTTTCAAATTCGTTTGGTTATCGTTGAGCGTTTAAAACTCGCTTGAAGACGAATCCTTCGGTGTTTATAGGTGCTGTCACTGGGTTATTCTTTCATCATATTCTTGATAATAAAAATTTTGTATTCATACTAAAAAATAGTGAAACAGAAAGCATGTTCAGTCTACAAATGGACAACCTTAATCTTTTAAAAATAAGTTAGAGGAGCTGTAATTACACAGAAAAGAAGCAGCACTCTCTGCTACATTGTGAACTTGTAATTTTCAAAAAATGTGGAGAACGATAAAATTAGAAGCATTGCTTCCTTTATTGACCGTATTTCCTAGATCATGTCATCCACTACAATTGTATGTTGATAAGTCGTAACGCGATAAATATGAACATCTTTACACGTACAAAGCAATGTGCGGTTTCCAAATGCTCTTTTTACTGACCTAGATCCCGGGTTAGTCCAGTCGGAGTCTCCTTCCAACCGGTAGTGAAGGACGAACGTGGAGATAGGACAGCCGCCACTTTTCCATGAGGACAAATCGACCGAGATGCATGTAGTGTTCGACGATAGAAACTCCCGTATTGATGTCGGTGCCACTGGAGCTGCAAATAATTCGGTGGGTGTTTAATTGTATCTTTTTTTAGTGTATTGTCTGGAAAATAGCCAGCAAACTAAGTGTTTTCGTTTTACCTACTTGCGCCATCGGTTTTAGTTTGCACATGGTTGCTGTGAGGCCCCTTTCCGGCCCCGTTATGGGCGACTACATAGAAAACATATGGCCGGCCACAAGAAAGGCCTCGTACGATATGCGAAGCCTTTTCGGCAGGAAGGAAGTTTTCCTGCCATGGACCTCCGCTGCCACTTGTGTCACGATAAAATACAGTGTACCCTGAAAGAGTAAGCATCAATTTAGCGACGTCATGAAGCACCCGTAGAACACCACTGCTTACTGCTACGATAGTTCAGTAAGATGGATTTCGATTACGGTCAGTAATTGCTTAGATATGACAACTTATAAAATTAGCTTAATTTGTGTCATTATAGCTCGGCTTCACTCACCGTTAATCGGTTGCTCACGGGCAATATTCCAGGCTAGATGAACCGATGAAGACGTAGAAGACACCAGCTTTAGATTGGCGGCTGGGGGCGGATCTGAAGTTCGCGCGCAAGATAAATGTGTAGGTACAAACGAAAATATTATAAACAGGTCACATTTACTACCGTCACTGTTATTCGCTCGTAGCAAGGCAACCAATATAGAAGAAAAGAGTTCCTCTACGTACAAAACCTAAAAATGCTCTAAGTGACAAACTTACCAATTTCGAGTGTTTGCGCTAACACTTCATCGGACACTGGTCCGGCACCTTTACTATTGAAAGCTTGTACGACCACTACATATTTGGTGCTTTTCTTGAGTTCACGGATATTTGTCTCAAGCGGCTGTCCCGATGGAAGTTCGGACACGTCAAGCGTTTTGTACGCAAACGACTCGCCACCTTTACCCGACGCTTTATAGCCCACGTAATAGCCCTGCACACTTGCTGGACCATCATCGCCGCTTTCAGGTGCCTACAAAATATGCGTATAAATAAGGTATATGTGTATATGATAAGCTGGCATACCCCAAAACGCTTATCCGATTTATACTCCGCACAAAGTTCTCGTCGTCGTTAAACTTCCTTCTGTCACATGTAATAACCCATTCGAAGGGTATTGTTAATTTGGATAACTCGTATCAATAATCTGGCATGATACTTACGTCCCAAATAACGTGTAGGCTCGAGGATCCTATTGGACTGATCTTTATGTTGCGTGGTACCGAATTTGGGGCTGTAATACAGAGAAAAACAACGTATATCTGCATAGTCTGTATGTGAATGTTTCAACCTAAGCTTGATAAACATTACGTTACATATATAATACTGAAATTGTGTCGGCTACCAATTGAGCGAGTCAGGCGTGAAAACCATTTCAACTCGTCACCATCTAAACTTCTATAGACCTTACAAGCATTGCGTCTTCTACTGATTATCACGATATGATTCAAGGGCGCAATCCGATTCAGCAGGATATTCCGGATGAAAATGAGAAAAAGAATATTTTTGTCAGTCCAACTAGCTATAGAAGCTACATTTGCGTACCTAACTTAGCTGTACTCCTTTGTTGGGCTTCAGCGTTTTGAAATTACGGTCGGTAGCCGTGCGTGTTGGCTTTATACATTCATGTTGAAATTCCTAAGTCAAGACTGAGCTCTGTTATATGCGCCTCGTAAGAGATACAAAAACATGAAGACTATTCATATTCATCACCGACACATTATGCCAATAAAAGAATTCTTTACCCACGTTGTTCTTCACGTTGTACATTTAAAAAAGACGCAACATATTTTTATACCATTGAAATGGAAAGTAGATTATAAATGTTCAGTCCCAAAACTGGGTTAGGAAGTTAGTTTCTTGTATTTAAAATAAGTAAATGCTTTGTGGTTTTAGCATCGTCACAAAGGTTAACCCCCAATTCTGTCTCGTCGTTACGCAGCATGTTTATAGTCTCGGATATCAAGACACGTTTTATTTGTGCCCTTTTCGTATTATATGTGAAAATGTTTTTTTTTTTTGTTTAAGGAAAGGTGCATCTTTCTAAAAAATTTACTTCCTTGGCCTGTTTCGCAGTTTATTCCTCGCTCTAACTGCCCACCATTGTCGGTTTCTTTTGTGCATTTCGTCCGCATTAGCATACATTTGCATTGGCCACCGACCGCGGTGTATTATTGCAGTATCGCATGTCAGCGCGGTCTCTCCGAAGGACCAAATATGAGTTGGGGACCTTCTACAGTTTCAGGGTCTCGAGGCGTACCTTCTTCATCCGTTGTCACAGTGACCGCCTGACTGGGTTCGCTCATGCCAAGCGCATTTTCGGCCTTCAGTCGAATCTCGTATTCGCTTTTTGGTCGAAGCGAAGTGACGACTACGCGCGGTTCCGCCGTCTCAACCGTACTCGCCTGCGCAATTTCCCAACTCGCTAAACAGAGTTAATAAAACGAGTCAATTAGTTAAGTGAATGGCACGTTCCGTTTTAGAGCCAGAACCAAAAGCAATCCTCCCGACCAGGGCTACCGTGATTCTAAACGTTGTTGGAAAAATCAAAGGATTACGATACGGCTCGCGTTTAGCTCTTACATAACGCGACTTATACCTTTGGATTTTTTGAACTCAAGAATATATCGGATGATGGGGCTGTTGCCACTGTATGGATGTTGCCATGTTAACGTAGCTGAACGGCTGCTTACTGAAGCTACGTCTACTTCCCGTGGTTTTTCAGGAGGTTCCTGGACCACCACCTGTCGTGCAAAAGGCAGGCAAATTGTTATTGCGGTCGCTATAAACAGCTCTATATATATCTAAGAACGTTGAGTTTATTTACAATATTATTGTATCTTATGCAGAATATTGTATAAAGTTTCATATATACGTAATATGGCAGAAACAGCCACTTACTATAGTCACTAGTAATAATAATACCATTGCTTATAGAAAAAACTATATTTTTCACCGCATTAAGATGTAAACTCGCCTGAAAGTTGGTGTCGTCCCTTCCGAAGGCGTTCTCGGCATAACAGCTGAAAAGCGATGAATCCCTTCGCTCAGCGGTCGCTACGTGTATTTTGTATTCAAGAACTTCCTTTGTATTCAGCTCCTGCACTACATATCGAGGTTCAAGATTAGGACTGAAAGGTTGCCGATCCCTAGTCCATGTCACAACAAGCGGTGGCTCTCCAATGGCTCGGCAATTTAGCTGGAAGCTATCACCACGCCGCACAGTGAGCGCCTGGAACTTTCGTTCGAAATGGGCCGCCACTGCAAAATAGATTAACCAGTGAAACACTCTGCGTTAACATCCCACGCCTGCAGGAATCTTGCAGCATCTATATCTCTGACATGTCGGCTACCTGACTAACTTTTGCAGTGCTTTATAACAATAATTGTCGAAAGGGAGCCTACACGGATCAAATATGCATTATGGTTTGCTATGTTTTGATGAAAGGCCAATCAGCCTTCATTGGAACAGCTTCTTCTGTATTATGGGAAAAGAACTCGATGGTCTGTCTGATTAAGACTGTAACGCTAAAAATGGCCTAGAACTAGAAGAGCACTAGGAGGCTTTTATTTACTTTTCTGATCACAAATAACTACAACAGTGTCATGAGATAAGACATAGTGGTCCCATAGGCACATCGGGTGAGCACCCGGTCTTCAGACGCTTACCATGCACATCAAGATTGATGACCTTAGAGATGCCTGGTCCCACTCCATTTACGGCCTGACACATGTAGGGGCCTGCGTCTTCTCGCGAAACCTCTCGTATTGATAGCGATCCATTCTCGAGAATCTGAATGTTAGCGTTGCTAATAATCACAGCGAAATCGCTCTCTGGTGCGTCGTTTGTTAACCAAAATAGAATAAATTTGCCATTATTTAGAATCGTGTTCTGTGTTTGTCTAGAAATTAGCTTGTCTCACTCAATTTAGTCTACAAGTGATTCATCCAAATCCACAAGTTGTCTTTTTATTTCAACTGGTATTACTCATATTGCTACGAACTTGCTATAACTCTAACACCATGCAATACATAATGAATATGTTTAACTATTTTCAAATAAAAACTAGTTTGAAATAAAAAAGATCTTTTTATTAGCTTGAGTATTTCAATTTAAACAGGATCATGTCATATCATAATACCGGATTATGGTTAAAAAACTGGAAACGTGAAAAAATTATACGACAGCTTTATTCCTGTTGAGTTTTATACTAACTTTGTTGCTTTTTCCAACGAATAACTGGTAGCGGGTGACCTGACGCTTGACAGTCGAAGACGATCGGCTCTCCAACGATGGCATGTCGATCCAGAGGCTCCGTTAGCCACCTTGGGGGTACTAAAATAGTATGAAATGCTAATATTTACACAAGAATACTCATCACCAATGCAATGCCAATGTTTCACTAGGTAACCCTGTACCTAATGGTTGATATCATCGTCTTGAAGCTTCCGTTGGATATAATAGTCTACGTAAAACCTTCACATCGGACAACTTAAATGACGTGCGCTCTTTCCAATTTTGGGTTACCTTGTACGACCATAGGTGCGGTATAATTCGAAGCTGCTGCCGGGTTGGTGGCTACACAAGTATAATTGCCCGAGTGTAGCTGATCCACAGAAGTAAATGAGAGAAACGAGGTATAATCATTAGCCGCGCTAATAGACGCTTTTAGACTGGATGGTAAGGGCTGGCCATCTTTTAGCCACGCGATTCGGATGGGCAAATCGCCGTCAGATACAATGCACGCCGCTCCGGCGCGCTTGCCTTGAGTGAGGTCTTCAGGGAAAGTAAATGGGTTTACTATTGGCGGAACTGGAATGAAACAAGGACAAATTATTAAAGTAAAATATTGGTAAGTTAAAGCTGGATGTTTCTTAACAGAACGTCTTCACATCTTTCTCATATGGGGAAGGGGGTGGGGGGGGGGGGTAAGCAGTAGTCTCAGATATATAGACAATAAGGAATAGAAAATCGCTGCCGTAAAATAAATACTAACTCATAACGGTTAGCTTGAGCTGCTTTGAGACGACGACATTGTGATCTCCAGTGACGACACAGGTATACTGGCCGTCGTCAGTCCGCCGTTCTACATCAGCTATTACCAGTGTCCCATTGTCAAACGTTTTTTGACGATGATTCTGGGGCAATGTACGGTTATCTGAAAACAATAACACAACACTACTATTTCCACTACGCTTAATTTCTGGTGGCTTTTCTATATCAATTGTTTCTACATAAAATTTTGCTTTAATTTGCCAGTAGGCAATGCTCTGCCAGTCGTAGTTGCCTACCTAAACAGGATGGACCGTTTGACCTGCAGGGATAAGTCGTTCTCCGCCTACGAACGCTAATCAGACTTTGTGGCGGTAAGTCATACAATGTTAGCTTCAGAGGGCTTGATTTATATGATAAAGCGCTCTTAACGATCATGCATAGTGCGTTATTGCTTATGCAGAAATGAGGCAGAAGCTGTATAGTATAGCCTTCACGTCACAATAGCCATGTCATTACAATTGCTGGCATCGCGTCACCGTGGCTCTCCGAATGCCCTCGTTTAGGTATGGTTTAACAATGCTATGTGATGTAGGGTAAACCCCTTTCTATACTCATCCCGTAGCCTCAGCAATAAAGCCAGATGAAAATCCTTAGTCCGAAATTCTTTAGTCAATGCGAGCTGGTTCTTCGAGACCGACTCCCCTAGTGTAAATGCGATATACACAGGGCCCGTGCTTAGTAGACGGTGCTCCCTCTTGTTAAAATAAACTGCCCTATGTGGCCTTGCCCTTACGTCTACGAAGCTGTCGCTCGAGGTGAGAATGTCAACCTCGTGACATCCGCGGGTTACCCTTAGTCGATTTTACTGAGATGAAAGAATAGAGAGAGCTGACATTCGCTGAATTGGCAACAGCCAATCGTACTAGACGATCAACCAGACTGTTCTGTTAGTTGTTCAGTCAGCAGGACGTGTTGTGCAGACAGCACAGGAGTCGGCGACCTCGGCCTTGGCCGGTGACGGGCCCTTTCGTTCTATATTCGTCCCTCCCCCTGAAGACACTGAACACAGTGAGAATGGGCATCTCCAAGGCCACTTGGATCCGGCCCGCCTCCCCAGGCGCATTTTTCTCGCTCCTATCTAAGCTTTGCTGTTATTTCCGTCTTCACAAGCTAGCGAGTCTGTATCCGTAAGACTGTTGTGGCGTGTCTGTGTGTTGACAGGCCGCTCACGTCGCCCGAAATGAACTCTGCCACTTCACGCTCGTTCGGACTTCTGTTTCTTCGCCTTCCCGGTTGCGCCATATCCTCTTCGCCTTTCTTTTTCTTTGGAACTGTGGTTGAGCAACTATTCTACTGCTTACGGGGTTTCGTCACTTTAGTAGAACTGGGTTAGAATGTTTAGTTCGTCTTTGCTACTTACTTGCACTCCACTAAAGTCATCGCTGCCTTTACCGCCCATACCACGGACACGGTTGAGATGGTCCAAAACGCTAGGCCACTTACCTAACCAATAGCTCTTTCTGAGCAGTTCACAGGAGAGGCAGTCGGCGACTATCCACGCGTTAGTGGTGATGGCGGTGATAGCAGTGGTTAGGTGGCCTCGGGCACAAAGGCGATAAAGGCGATGGCCTATACTCTTGCCTGCTCAACAGCCCGCCTTAATCGCTCATGGAAAAAGAAAACTTTCCTTCCTTAAGGAAAAGCCTTTTTCTCCTTCGCAATAGGAGCAACTTTAAACGTGAGGGCTTCGTTTCCATAGCTTACCAGCCAGCCGACCGTTAACGGATCGGGCTAGCGATGTTTCTGGTTGGCCTGTCCATAGCCAACCACTGCGAGATATCGTTGTGTTACTCTGTAATCGTTTGATCCGTTGCAGTGTGTAGAGCGCAGTGAGTGCATATATGATAGGCTGTATTTGTATGTTTTGTCTTATCCTATTTTCTTCATTACCGACATGCTTGAGCATGTAACATTCTTGGTGACGTATACAATGGGCTCCATTTAATAGACGAACAGCAGCCTTAACAGTCGCGAGACCAGAGAACGACTTCAGTGTTGTAGTGTTTATTGTGTACTCGCTCGAGTAGGCGAACGAAAGGCGCACAATCGATGCAACGAAAGATTAAGAGGAATACAGGGCGATTGAGACAAAAGTAAGATGGGTGGTTAGGCGCACATTGGGTATAGCTGGTATTGGCACAAAGCTATAGGTTCGCTCTGCCTTCTATGGACAAACACAGCCGATCCGAATTGGCTACAGCGTTTTTCTTTTCGAAGAAAAATCTTTTCCGTTTCTCGCAAAGAACCCAAATGTGTGAGAACCTCGGCCTCGAGTAGGCCACGAAGGTCTATTCAAACAGCATTAAATAAAACAGTTGTAGGCTTTATCGTAAGAGATTAATCTCAATAATCCGAAAAATAATTCGAAAACATAAATCTGGCTTTATTAGTAATCTACAATCTAGTTTAATGTGCTCATTGCGAGCTGCAACTTTTGTACTGACGTTCCTATAAGCTTGGTCTATTAATTACTGTTTACAGGTGGCTTCCAAGTGATGCTAACATGCTAAGATAGGCATTTTGTACGATATATCCTAAAAAGACGCTATAATACAAGTTCCGTCGCATGAATCAATGCTGATACCCATGCTGCCCTTTATGTACCACTATACTGAGCTATTTATTGATGCAAACTAAAACGAATTTCCGCAAGTCTTTTATTTCTAGCCTTATAAAAGACCTTATCACTATAATGTACCTCTAATCCAATGAATGCTCTTAAGGGGGTATCCAGCAGCAGGACAATGCACGTGCACGGTTCGTCCGGCAAGTGCAGTGACCGGCGCCATTGCACGAATATGCGGTTTACCATGCACTTGCAACCTTGCCGAATGCTCAGCGCGACCAACACCGTTTCGGGCTGCGCACGTATAAACGCCCCCATCTTCCACGCGTACGGCAGTTATGTTAACGTAGCTGTGAACAGATCGTTCTCCAGAGACGTAATCACCTGCGAGGCAAAAGAGCACATAAAAAACCATTTTTGCTTAGTGTGCTGTTGTGCTGAATAAGGTAAGAACGTTTTTAATTTATGCAAGAAAAGCCAGCAAAAGGTTAGACGAATAATCGTAATACGGAACCTCATATTTCTTCTTGAAATAGTAAAAAGGACCAAAATGCTAAAATTCGGATGGCTTAGTTCCAGTATACGGCAGGACACGGGTCAAACGAAATCCCGACTTCTGATGCAAGCAGTAAACTCGGCAACCAAATGGAAAACTTACCTTTCAAATTGAACTGTCGAACCGCTTAAACGTCAGTAGATTAGTCTTCCGTTCATGTAGCGATCGATGCATCGATCATTCAAAAAAACTGATTTGTTGGAACATATGAATAGGGACATTATGTTGGACTTTGATGTACATTAGGGAGAACATGTTGGCCTTGAAAATAATTGCTCCATCAACGAACATCTTCCCCGAGATAGAGCAATGCTTTTTTTTGTAGAAAGTTACGCGAGCTGTATTCTAGAGTTATGATTACCCCATCTCCGTTTGGGGGTAACAAAAGAGTCGTAGGATCGCTAACATTCTATCTAGCTTTTTTTCAACCAAGAAACGCTAAGAATCAAGCTCTTGATGCGGGAGACAGTCTTAGACGCAATCAGCGTATGATTTGGCTATGGAACTTAATCCCCAATTTTCAGCGGCTAGCCAACTTGACTGCGAACATTGTCATTTTTGGTGAGTATTCTACGAAGGATCAGTCAACTTTTTTTTTTTGCTGTGAAGTAATAAACGGGATCAGCGATTATCTTTTCTGCAGTGTTATGCAGGAGGTGTCGTTCTAAGCCAGCGACCTGTAGCCTTTTGGTAATAACCAGGATCCGTTCTTGTAAGCAGTCATCACAGTGGATTCTCAATCGTGGTGTAACTGTCTTATGAGTGTCCTCGACAGCCACAATATAGCCATGGATTAAGGCGTTTATTCGCGCATCGAACATCATAGTTCAAAATCATCAGTGATCATTTCCTAAATTTCTGTGAAATTCACACGTTACATAAGTAATATCTAATATGTATACATAATTCAGGTAGTATATTGGGGCGTCAACACTATTAATTAACAACGAACAACAAAGTTATAGATACCAGTTGTTTTAATCGAATCTTTATTATTATTAGTACGAACGCGTATTAGGATAGAAGCAACGTATAGTACTTGTCAATCCGTCAACGGGCTTAGAGAAGCGACTATTTATAAGCGATAGTGTGATATTTCTTTTTGGCTGTACATCCAATCGATAGTAGTTTGAATTGGCTAGTCCCAGGATTTTCGACCCAAGGGTCGGTTTTGAAGATTAGCTGAGCGTCGAAAAATGCAGCAAGAGTCCAGATCACACGGCGATGTCTATAACAACATCATATTCAAATTTGAAACGTGTTCGCTGGCAAATCATACGTCGGAGCTTAAATTTACAAGGGTGCGTTCGTCTCCATGGGCAAGGCTCGATTGAATTTTATGGAAAACAGCATGGTAGCGATCCAAAGAAATCTTAAGACTACTCACGTCCGGCTAAGTCCCCGTACGTGGACGAACGCTACTTGGAGTGGTACAAGCATACTTCAGAAGGGAATCGCAGGCACCTTTCTTAGCAAGAATAGCTGCGTTGAATAGTAAGCAAACAATTGGTGACGATGAACCAATTATCCTACAAATCAAAGTTGTATTCCAAATCAAATCTACAAAACCGATACTATAGAACTCAGTCATCGCTTTTTGAAATATAAATTGTCGATGAAGTTTCCTCTCAGACGCTTGTAGTCCACTATTATTATCCCATTAGCCCAAATTGACTTACTCAACATTGTTTTCTGCAACGGTAGTGATCTTCCTTCTGCATATTTTTACTCTTTACGCCCTCCTTCCTTACTTATCTACTAACTCTGTCAAATATCGCGAATGAGCAGGAAAAACAGGGGAAACTAACTAAGCGAATATAAAGTACAACGACGGGATAAAAGTCGCCCAGAGGAAAAAGCATTTTACATTTCAAATCAACGAAAAGTAGAGGTTTTCGCAGCCGGCAGTGGGACCCTTGGTTGACGCTTCTAACTAATTGCAAATTAATTCAAATGTTAGATGTAAAACCGAGATTGCTGCTAAACTTGTAGTTTCCCCTTGTTCTAGTTCTACTTGCCCCCATTATATCTCAAATGCTCTCTTTCGTCATTTACAATTTTGCGACTCTTGGTCTCTTAAAGGAATAGAACGTCTTCTCCTCACAAGACCTCCTTTTCAGCCGTCATTTCGAATCCTTTGGTTTGGTTAGTATGGGATCGAAGGAAGTCAGTGCACGCCAATGAGATAGGATAGCAAAGAAAACCCAACAATGCCGTGCGGACGAACGCACGCACATGATTTGAGCGAAAAGATCCGAGAAGAAAAAGCCATAAGCCGACTGTGTGAAATGAGCATCTAACGGCCTAGTTGGGCAACCTGCTCACATGGCAGCTGCTAATTCGGGCGGTTTATATAGACGAAAACGACGATGGAAGCCGCAGAAGCGTACATATTTCGTGCTTTGGAAGAAAACATAAAAATTCATTAACCAACTTCGAGTGCCTTCTCTCATGGCAAGAGAAGCTGAGCTAATATAATAAGTTCAAGACTCGGTCATTAAAAGCTTGGTATGTTGGCTTTTGCTTTTGTCAAGGGGGAAGTTGTGGCTCGGCTGATGCGTACAAATAAGGACAGATGAGGACATAAGGTCACTGATTGTTTTAGGTCAACCCAGCCAGAGTGAAAGAAGCAGAGAAGCACGTGCGAGAACCATAACTAAGCTCTCCGGGATGCACCGATGGCTCCTGCAGACCTGTCACACATTGTTTCAGGCACCCATAAACCAAAAAATAGGATTTCAAAGCTTTTATAAATATCAGCGAATTTAGTACGATTTGATTTCCAACCAAGGCAGGAATAAAATCAACCGATGTTCCGTGTGTGCTATGGGAAAGCTATTTGTTCTTGACTTTAGATAAGGCTCATGCCAAACATTTTACTGATAATCGCCGTATCATCTATATAAAATAAACGGGAATCAAACTGAATCCGATTTGCTGGTTAGGTTGAAGGTCGATAGTCAAAGCGAGATCATTAACGTTAGACCATAGTTAATTTCTTACCATAATGCTACTTGTTTTCAAGCAGCTATCCAGAAAGATCTACTAATATCGCCACCAGCTCTACACCTTGAGCGAGAGTATTTGTGCTAAAACCTTGTTGCCAAAAAAATCGTGCAATCTTAAACAATCACATATCATAACTGATGAATATATAAATAAGAATTTCCGCTAAAATGATCGCTACTAACCGATTCGAATGTGATAGACTTCTGGTACAGGCTGCCCATCCAATGTCCACGTAATTTGGGGTAGGGGGTTTCCAGAGGCTGAGCATTTCAACGATGCCATACTGCCCGGTTTAAGAGTCAGCTCGCGGAAAGCGTGCTCCAATACGGGTGCATCCTCTGAAAATTAAACAACAATACGCTTCGTATACATCTCAATATAACTTAATGACCCACATAGTGTATTTTTGAGTTTATTTTATATTATATCTATGGCTTACGCTTAGCAATTGTCTCGATTCGGCGCTCCAGTATCGTACAGACAACGCTCAAGCAAGGGACTCGGCAATCATTAAATACGCTTTAGCGACCACTACAGATACTTTGTAAAACATGATTTTTTTCCTGGAGCTGGCTGACCAGTGTTCTGATTCTCGTAACCACTCATTATTTTGTGAGGCAATCTTATGGTAGTTATATAAAGGCATACGATATTTAATAAATCGCAGCGCAAAGTGATAGGCAGCGCGAGGAAAAGTCGTCGTCGTCGTCGCCGCGTTTTTTACTAACGGCATCAATACAAAAATTGCCCTTCATAACTTCTAACAGACAGTTGTTTCACAGCCGACAGGTAGACGGTGGTCGTGCGTATACTACGTACGACCACAACGTATTTGCACGGCATCATCAACGCTGTGCTCGCCACCACTGCAGGTGCTGTCGGCGCGGAAGGATTTAATTTTAGCTACACGTTCTTTCACTTGCTCTACCTTGTCTTGCGTTTCGTCGAGTTAGCCACCCGAGAGTGGGTCTAAACGGCAAGGAATTTTGCAGAGCTGGTATCGACGGCAGCAGCAGCTTGAATAGGAACAAGTGGGATGGTCTTCTTTGACGATGAGAATAGGGGAAAAGGCAGCAGGGGTTGACTCACTCAATGGCTGTTTTCCTTCCAAGGCTAGAAGGTGACCTCTTGTTATAGGGCCACGAGTCCGGGCCCCATGAACAGGCTAAATTGTGTCGCTCGCTTTAACGACCCATTCCTGCTGCTACTGCCTCTCTTTATGGTGGATGAGCTTTTTGCGCAGACACGCATTCTACTCATGCGCTACTGCCGCCAGCCACCAGCGTCTTCTCCAGCTGTCTACCGTTTTGCGGTGTACGCAGGAAGGGAGGCTTGATCCGCGGAAAAGATTCAGCTGGCACCGCGGGCAATGCAGGTATGCTGAAAAGCATCGAGGATCTCTAAGAGAACCCTGGCGTCCCTTACAATGCTGCAGTTACTTCTTGAGGGAGTTCCTTAATTAGATCCAACGTTGCTCTTCCCCTAGAGCTAACCATGGCCGAGTTCACCGCTTTAGCGCCCTAATTCCTTGCCTCCCAAAGTACGCTCTTGTTGAACACAGCGCCTACGCTGTCCAACCACTTCAGTGACTCGTCATCCTTGTCTTAAATTTGGCTTACCTTAGCTGGGTCGAGCAGTACCAATTTTACCTGACTCTCGCCGACCCAACAGCCTCTGACTAAATCGGCCGAAGATGAAAGGGCCAACAACTTTTTTAACAGGCCCTTTTTGTTGTGCGAGCTAAGAACAGCAGCAGGAGCGGACTCACTTCGAACGAGTTGGTATCGCTGCAGCTGCTGTCTTTGCTCTTTAGAAGAAGAATTATACCGAACCATGCAGTAGAAAACGGTGCGCAACGAGGAAAAGATGATTTGAAGTATCAGTTAGGTCACCATTGTTAGTTCACTGCAGTAACAGCAGCAAGAGGGGCTCATGTCTTCTTCGCTTACCTGCACCGTCCGCCTTACTGAGTCCACTGAATGGAGTCGCTGGATCGCGCACGTTGTTTTATTGAACGTGACATAAATCCCCTGTACTACTTTTGCTGCTAATGGTGATCTTCACGAAACTGATTGGCGACAGCGGTGAATTAATATCTAGGTTTGACCAAACCTTCAGTGCATGGTCGATCATTGACCCATTGAGAAGCTATAATGGCGGTTTTATGAAAGTATTTTATTTTTTAGCTAGTGGTAGTATCGACTCCTGTAGCTTCTGCGAACAAACAAAAGCTTCTGTGAAGCACAAGCGGGAACTTTGCGTAATAAAGTGAACGTTCAGCTTGATTGAACCGATATGAACGTCGTGTATAACAATCTCCTACATGCCATGACGTAATGTATAGTGTGGGACTCGAGTATATATGGTGATATAACTCTTATACGGTTTAAAAATATAGTTGACTTCTATATTCAAAAAATAAGAGCGGTTCCCTACCTCCGATAATGAGTTGGGCAGTTCCCTGTGCGGAATCTTTGGCGTTAGCCACTTGGCATTGGTACATTCCACGGTCCTGACGATGCACCGGTGAAATTTCGAGCACTTGCAAAATATCGGTGGTAAGCAGGTTGAAGCGTGGGCTTTTACTGAGCGGTTGGCCGTCCTTTGTCCAGACAACAGAGTGGACCGGTTGTCCGCTAATGCGGCATGACATGTTTGCTGTCCGGCCAACGTCCACTACTTGGATATTGGGCTCGACACGCGCTATCAGCGGAACAGTAACGTAGAGGTCGCTCTGGGCACGTTCTTCGCCCGCGGAGTTGTTGACCATGCAGACGTACCGGCCCGAATCACTGGGTGACGAAGACGATATTATCAGTACACCTTCGAGAAGTTGAAAACGGTCCGATGGCAATACGGGACTGAGGGCACCTACAAAAAAAAATAATGTATTGCTTGTGAATTACCGTGTGTTGCTAGCAGCTGTGATAGTAAACGATTATTAGATTGTAGTCGTTCCTATATTTTGCCTAAATTTAGGTAATAATTATATTATGAAAAAGCGGAAAAGGAGCGGTGGGTAAAAACAGAATCCGTTAGAAACCTTAAACAGTTCATCCTTGTTGCAAAAAAAAGCCTTTGAGATCTTTCACGCATTTTTTTCTCTGCTTTTCCGTTGGTCCTCCACTTTATCTTCATCCTTCCGGGACTTCCGTCACCGTCTTTTTCGTCTTTAGTTCACTGCCATGGTCATATCTGACTTGTATGGCCTTCTCCATCATTTGTTTCTTCGTCGCTGCCACAGCCGTCGCCGTCTGAGGACCGTTCGCAGCTGTTACCACTACTTCTGCTGTTAGTACTACAATAAGCGGTGGGTTGAGCCGTAAGGCAAAGGCCGCTCCCTCCGTAACTGATCTAGTGGCCGCTTCTGCTCGACCCGGTGGGCCGTAAGGCCAAAATGTATATTAGCACCTCTGCCGCGGAGAGCCATCAAAACAGTTCTGCCTCCCCGTTCCACCGTCCTCATTTCATCTCCTAGGCTCTCGTGTGAGTCTCACCATATCTTGTTATACCTAAACTCACACATACGCATACGAGCATATAAGTGCTTATCCTTCCTCTGCTCTTTCATCCTCTCTGGCTGTTTCTTCTTTGGCTGACGTGGGGCGTAACGACTGCAGATGGCGGACTTCTTTTCATTCACACGCTAGGCCACAAAAGGTGCAAGGAGGCACAAGTTGGCGATCGTTGAGTGGGCTCGCCGCGCCCACATCGACCATCGTTGTCGGCAGTTGGAGTCGCCCAGCGGTCAGGGTGTACCAGGTGAGGCCAACACTCATTCATGATTGAAGTTGGGGATCATTTACCCTTCTTCTGGTTGCGGCTGCCGTAGAGGCTAGACGACCGTACCGTTATATCCCTGTTCCACATCTATTTCTCGGACGCTATACAGCATTAGTCGTGCTGCTGCTGCCTGTGCGAGCCCCCAATACTTCGCTGGTTTCTTTTTGCCAGCGCCTTGCTCTTCTGTGTCTTTAGTCGGTCAGTTCCCCTCGGTCTCGGCGGTCAGCCACTTTACCGTTCGTTTCTCATTGTACGAAGTCACGCCACTTGTGACCACGACTGGCGCCGCCGCTGCTTCTATAGGGGTAAGGATAGCTACAGAGCTTTGCCTCGGTCCTGCTGCTGTTAAGTCCATCCTCGCGCTACATACATTCTCCGCGGGCTTACATCTGCCACTGTTGCTGCCGCTTCGATTCTCGAAAACGAGCAGGCGGGTGGCCTGCCGCTTTTTACGTTCTGTTTCAGGCCAGCGCTAGCAGCACTGCCCACTACCATTAAGTAAGAAATCGAGGCTTGCCTCAGCGTGATTAGCTGGTAGCAGCGCCATTGCCAGTCGCTACCGCCATGACCACTTCTGCTGCTGCTAGAACTGCAACCACGGCTACAGGCAAAGTCACTAAATGTACGTCCATTATCAGCGCCCTATTTGGCTCCTTCTCGGTCCATGTCGTCGCCTGCGTGGTCACCCAGACCGCGGTCCCTTCAACTACCGTGAGTACCCCTCCCAAAGTATCTGCCTCCATTTAACAATAGAAACATAACCCACCATTCTACCATGTACCAGGCACACTAGTTCCAATGGTAAAGACTTGACGTCCTGTCTCGTCTTTTTCTCGTTCTACTAAAGTTGAACTGCTTTGGTGCTCCCACGGTTGGCGGCCGTAGGGTTTGTAAGGCAACTTTTTTGACCGACACGAAAAGACTGTTGTGACGAGGCCAATAGGCGCCACGTTCATGTAGCATATGCATAAACAGAAATACATAAACATATTAGCATACGCCTTTAGATATAAACACGCACTTACGAATGCTCACACCATTTAAACAAAAAACGCGCACGTTCTGGGGTTTGCTAGCCTTAGTTGGCTTTCCGGCTGCCTTCCATCAGCGGAATTAATATTAGCAGCAGCAGAAGCAGCAGCAAAACACATGTACAGCCAAGCATTTTTCAGGCAAAGGATGGCATATCCTTTTTGTGTGGCGTCAATTCGTAAGAGTACGTATCTGTGCTAGCGTCATAGACCATGCGAATAGCATTCGTAACATCAGCATAAGATATCCATGAAAAGTGGATTGTTTTTTTTTTCAGTTTTTACAGTATCAGCTTTTCGCTAATAGGCAAGTTCTTTATGAGACTATGAAAGCTTGGAGGTAATCGACACATTGACAATTGTGGCTTGCCTCTAATCACCGGTATTTTTCGGCCCTGAGGGGACTTTGGTGTTATCGACTTACCTGTGCTATCAGTGCGGTACCAGTTTGATGTCGGTGTTGGATGCCCTTGGCTGATACAAGGTAAGTACGCTCTGTCACCCTCCTCAACGTGTACACTGCTCCGATATTCTGTAATCTTCACTGGAATCACCCCATTTGCCTCTGTGCAAAATATATAAGTAGAACAAGATTAGCGTATTAGTTGGACTTTTAATAATTTCAATGCCTTATATTGATGGGAAGCTAAAAATATATCCAACCGTTTACTACGATAACGAAAATAAAAACAATAGAAATAATAATACCGTCAATATGTAGATGTACGTGCATACAACTGCGATAAACCATTTTTTAAGACGACATATGAATTTTACGTCCGGTATTGCTGTCAGCCATTACATCAGACAGACGGCTGTCTTCTAGCACGACATGAAACGAACCGAAGTGTGTTTATGTCCGAACCTGGACTGTTTTGACCTAACCTACTAATATGTTTCCAGCTAGTATTTTTCTAACATCGGGTTTTACTACTACTCCTTGATCACATTATAGAATTATGAATAATAGAAAAAAAAGTTATTTATTTAAAAAAAAAGTGATATCATTTCTTTATTCTAATATTAGTTATTTTTCTTCTTTTTTACAGTGATTAGAGTATAGTCAAACTGTGTTTACTTTAAATTATGGAACAGGATAACATGTAATTATTGGAACATTATTTTTAGCAATTAATTTAATTAGAATAATGAATAGGTACAGAAAACATTTAAGATTTAAGAAATAGCAGCCTATCGACGTTTTGTAGATGTTGTATTTGTATATTTGCCTGATTATGTTTTAAAGCAGACCTTACACAGTCGTGGTCAATGGCAGAACGTCAGAATAACACCATGCTAGATATGTAAGCCTAAATCAAAATATCGCAAAATATCAAACATCGCTTATTGATGACACAAATTCACTTGAGTTGCGACCATAATATCCACGTCAGTGCCTCCTTGCCAGTATCAATGCGGAACTAGTCGACGACCCCACCATCGGCTGCTACAGTGGTGTTTCCATCACAGTATGTATCGCTCTATCTATCTATCACCACTAAAATGGTGAACGTCTGCCCCATCTGTTCGCTTCGTCGTTGCTCCGCTATTGATCAAATTGTTGTACCCGCGAAGCGACGACGTTTCTTACAGGATTATACCTACACCCCTATGTAGTAGCAGCAGCAGCGCCGGTTGTCGATCTTCAATCTCAATATCTGGTTTAGAGAGCTTGTTCTTCTTTCTCCCCCTGTAGCGTCTGCTATCCATCACCGCTGCCACCGAGGAATCTATGGTGTATCACCAGCCGCTTACTAACTGACTGCAGTTTTCGTTAGTTCGCCTGCTGGCATGCCGACCCAGCCACTAGTGGCCTACTGGTGGCCTAGCGACGACCTGGAGACGGCAGCAGCGTTGGCAGCGATAAAGGTAGGGAAGGTACCCAACGAACCAAGCATCGTTGTAAACGTTTCGAAGTACGCCACAGACATTGCTACCGAGGCGTCCTGAATGTCATATTGAGCCGCATTCCTGTTTCCCGGTGATACCTACTAGTCCATAGACGTTGGCATAGCCTCATCTGCAACAAGTCTCAGGCTAGGAAACTGCATCGACGAGCAATGCCCTCGCTGTGATATCGATCGGGTTGTAAGCGTTACGTTAACCAGCTGCTTGTTGATAATAGTTTATTATCGCAGCAAAGTTTCCTATGGATACGATCATGCTGTCCTATCAACATCTATGAACCATAGTGACCAACAGGTAGCTAGCTGATAAACCTTAGCCCAGAGTATGTGGAAACCTAGTTTTTTCTAAATAGTTTTATTATTATTACTATAGTGGTACTAGTATTAAGTGAAAATGGCAAGGGTTAGCTTTGGATGAGTGTAAGTCAGTCCCTGCGTGTCTTTTAGTTTAGTTCGTATCACTATAGGGCAATTCATGTTCATGCTGCTGTTTGTGGCTACTAACGTTTAAATATGTGTAGTACCTAGGTTTACAATACTTCATCATCATTAAAATGGGGGGCAATGTTTTCTCGTTTCCTTTTTATTGTACCATGAGTATTATACAGTCAATGGTACTGATTATAGAATTCATTTAAGAAGCCGTTTGGCCAGCCAAGATTTTATTCTCGGTCTTTGGGCGAACTGATCTCTATCGAAAATTTTATCATAGGGTAAGATTATCATTCTTGCTGTAAAATGTCTTGCCTATTTTTCTTCGGTAGCCTCGAAATTTAATTACGACAGCTGGTACTTAGCGTAAACCGGAAACCGCAATTTTTCGTCTAAGTAAATCATCTTCCGCTAGTGAATACTGATGCGTTTATTCTTCAAGTACGACTTGCATTTAGAAAAATGGTAAGCACGATTGGCCTACGTACAATGGTTCAAGAGCACCATTTAGCTAAATGCAATCTGCCACACGTCAGTACTGAAGTACTTCTTTTTTTTAGCAAAAGCCCCGGAAACGACGCAAGTGGGACCTAAGTAGGCACAACCACCGTCGTTGATCAGTAGTAGCTCACTAAAAACAACTGGATGAAATATGAGTTTACTTCGGAAAATAAAGTATCTCGCGCCTTCTATCGGTATAATTCGCTTAAATTTCCTAAATAGCAGAGCTTATAACAAACCTACAATGGGATTTAATCGTCATAGCTAGACTCCGACCGGTGGTCACCTTCCAATTACGTATTGGTATACGGCTTCACCGGTACAATTGGATGATAGATTAAGATTAGTAATTGCTTTTTACGTTTAGCTTTTACATAGTTAGCTACCGGCGAACAGCGGTCGAATCATATCATTCCAGTGAAGCAAGAATGGATATCTCAACGACTGGACTTGACCTCGACGAAAAGTTAAATCCTCGCCAGAAGGAACGAAGCAAAAATATGTACTTTTTGCTTGCAATAGTATTCGTAAAACTATTAAAAACATATGGGATCTTTCATATCATATAAGTCGTCTATAGAACATGAGCAATCATACGGATAAGTCAGTGTCCGCTATCCGAAATCATTGCGCTCAACTACAATGGATGTAAACCTTACATAGAACTCACCTGTAACAATGATTTTGCCACCATTTTGACTAACGGTGCTTTGTCCTGTCAATACGTTGTGTAAGGTACATTTGAAGGAGTGCGCCGAATCCGCCGGTTTTGCCAATCGGATAAGTAGTTCCCCTGAGGATAACATCACGTACCGCTTATCTAACCCTACGACATGAAACATCCATCGGAAACCATAGCCGTTGGCCGGTGGCGGCAACGTGAACGATCGGCACCATGGTATCGGCGTTGTACAAACATTTGTACATGATACCCGCAGTTAAAACAATTAGCAGAAAGGACACCATCGTATAACGAGCCGAAACGTAATCAGTTGACGTGGTCGTATGACGTTAGTACATGTGTGAATCGGCAGAAGACGTTCGTCGAGAAGGGAACGGACGTGATTGATACGCAACAACAATAAAAAATCAACGTTAGTTAGCTACAAATGGCGGGGTGGAGTACCGTTATACAATACAATGAATTAACCTATTTATACGTGAGTCTCTGGGTAGAATAGTGTCAATTGATAAGAAAAGGGTCTTTAGTTATTCGGTCAATCCGTGAATATTTCATACGCATCTATAGTACTATTCAATACCACATAAGTTTTATTATATTTGAATTGTATATTCAATTTTATGAATGTCGGAGAACAATACCGCTGCCCATGAGCCATGCTTGTCCGAGGTCAAGCGCGTCGGACTTATGTTGCAGACTAGCCGCCGCTGCTGTTTACATGTTTCTATCAATGGGTTGTTACTGGCTTATTTGGACCTGCGCCATGACGCCTCCCTGGCTTTCCCTAATATTAGTAGATTTTATTCATTGCCCTCGTCCAGCCAGTACCACTGGCTGCCATATCACATACTGCCAACTCAGTGCATCGGCTCTTTTGCCAGGGTAGTCGCTGTAAATGCCCCTATCGTTGTTCGGTCCTCGTTGCTTTGCCGGGCCTCAGTAGAAGTCGTAGAAGCACGCACTGGCACAGTCTTTTCGCGTTACTAATTATTACGCCTATCAGCAAAATGCAAGACACGCGTAGAACCTATCTATCATGCTCTGGCGGGCCATATCGTTAGCTAGCCAGCCAGCCCACCCAGCTAACTCCCAGCTGCTTTCCACGTCTTTCTCTGTCATCAACGCCGCCTCTAGTCGACGGAGAAGGAACCGCGTGCGCTAGGGGACGCAAAACCGACTAGAGCGCCGTCAAAGTCGATGACAAGGATAGGAAGGCCGAAGGCCGTCTGATATCTCCGACAGTCCTATGTGCGGATGCTGCCTTAACGTGGTGGCGGACAAAAACGAATTAAAGCGTCAAGTCTACTAAACCACGTACAGTGTCTTGGTATCAACAGCTTAGTATCTATCATAGTAAAGGAAAAGATGAGGGTCAAAATATGACGACTTAGATCTCCCGACTAAAAGAGCCGTTACCAACCGTGCAGGTATTGACAAAGCAAAGCTAGATCCTAGTGCGGCAAATTGGTACTATCTGCGAATTCATAGGACCAGCTTCAGGTTCGCATAAACGGCGTTTTTCATTCATATATATATATATATATATA